GAGTGCACATCAATTGATCTATTATGAGTGGTCTGCTTTAGTTTTTTTTTTTTTTTTTCTATGTCTCTTAAGTAGTGGTCATGGTTCCTGACCAGTGAACAAAAATTTCCATGTGAACTACTTGCAAGGTATGATAGTTGAGAAATAATGTTTACCTGATAAGTTAAGGCAGATTGCATATCAGTTGATTAATTTCAGAGAAATGTCTTATGTGATTGTGGGACTAACAGGGTCAAAATCTGTAGGATAGAGAGAAAACTCGTGGACAGGTGCTGATACTGTCATCCACAGGTGGAATTTCTTCTTTCTCAGGAAAACCTCTGGTTTCCTGCTTTAAACTGATTGGGTAAGATCCACCCAAGTTATCAAGAGTAGTCTCCTTAACATAAAGTCAATTGATTGTAGATGTTAATCATATCTACTCAATACCTTCACAGCAACACCTAATCTAGGTAAGTAGCTTTGTGTTATAGCCAGACTGTGCTGTCACAAAAAGTCTACCACACAGAAACTAACAATTTACAGAAAGACATGGTTAAAGGTATAGAATATAATTTTACATATATAAATATATGTATATATATATATTTGAGTATCTTTGGATATGAGTATCCTTTGGAAGAAGTACATGACTTAAGGGAATCACAAAATAAACAGCACATGTTGAAATATTAAGTAATTACAAAAAGTATACTGTCGCTCCCCCTCTTCATGGAGGAGCAACACAGGACCCTGTGCTGTTCTTTCGTCTGCTCGGCCCTCCCCGGGTTTGCTGCTGGTTCTTCCCGGGTTGGCTACTATCCCTTCCACCTCCGTGGAAGGGCAGTTCCCCCTAGCCACATTCCCCACTTCCGCAGGGGAGCGGCACACCGCCGGCCGGTTCTCTCGGGGGCTGCACGGGTTCCCTTAGATGTTCCCCATAGATGTTCCTGGTGCATGCCGTCTCTCTCCTCCTTTATAGTCCTCCTCCGCCAATCCTAACTCGGCTGCCCACACGCCGAGTACGCTGCTCTCCTCCAATCAGGAGCAAGTCCTACAGTTTATTAGTTGAACTGGAGGCAGCTGTGCGGAAGCTGTTTACTTCTCTCCCAGCGCCATATTGTGGGAGAGCAGATGCATAGAATAAGTCTTAATTCCAGTAACTTAGTCTAGTCCGGGCTGCTCCCCACAGTATACCACAGAATAAGATTAATTACATGAAAACATACATCAGTATTTTTAAATTCACTAAATCTTTTCCTTAAGAAATGAAGAATTTCAGGTTGGAGTTAAAAGCAAAATCCATGGATGTTCACTATAAAATCTTTCAACTTAGTTGACTGTATAAAATTTTAATAATGTACAAAAATGCTGGGAGAAAAATTAAAAACAAAGCACAATGCTGGGCTTTATGAGACATACTTAAGGTGACGTATAAAAATAAGAGGCAAGTGCAAACTTGTAACGAAAGTACAGATGAGCTAGTACTATAACACAAAATGTTGAATTCTGGTCAAATTCTTAAAAGCACTTTAAGACTCAAGACTATAATGCACAATTACCAAATAACCATTGTGATGATATATATTCAATAATAATGCACATTATTTAGGTACTATGGGAAAATAGGAGACTTCAAACATAGCAGTGAGCCAAGCTGTTGCCCTAGAAGAGGAGAAACATTGCAGACATTTTCCAATGTGACTGAACTTGAGATTTTCAGCTCCTATTAGTCCCACTGGGGATGGGGGATAAAACTACCAATGATGAAATCCAGCCACATGAAGAACACCACTCTAGAGTAAGAAGAGCCCTCCGGCTTGGTTCTTTTTGTTCAAGATTGCTTTGTCTATTTGGAGGCTTTTCTTCCTTTATGTGTTTTTCTGATTTTTCTCTAGTTCTAAAAAGAATGTTATGGATCTTTTAATGGAGATTCCATTGAATCTGTAAGTCGCTCTGGTAGCATGTGTATTTTAGTAGTTGTAATTCTTCCAATCCATGAACATGGGAGGTCTTCTACTCTTTGTGTCTTTTTTAATTGCTTTTAGCAACGTTTGATAGTTTTCACTGTAGAGTTGTTTGATATCCTTGGTTAAATTTATTCCAGGTTTTTTTTTTCCTGTAGCTCTTGTGAATAGAATTGCTCCTATAATTTCTTTTTTTTTTTAAAGATTTATATATTTATTCGAAAGTCAGAGTTATACACACACACACACACACACACACACACGAGAGGGAGAGAGAGAGAGGTCTTCCATCCTCTGGTCCACGCCCCAACTGGCCACAATGGCTGGAGCTGCACTGATCCGAAGCCATGGGCCGGGAACTTCTTCCAGGTCTCCCACGTGGGTGCAGGGGCCCAAGGACTTGGGCCATCTTCTACTGCTTTCCCAGGCCGTAGCAGAGAGCTGGATTGGAAGTGGAGCAGCTGGGTCTTGAACCAGCGTCCATATGGGATGCTGGCACTGCAAGCAGTGGCTTTACCAGCTACACTACAGCAATGGCCCCATTCTATAATTTCTTTCTCAGTGAGTTCGTTATTAGTGTAAAAATGCTACTGATTTTGCATTTCTGTATTTTCGGCCATGCCACTAAATTTGCTCTTCAGTTCTAACAGACTTTTGATAAAGTCTAGGTTTTCGTACATACAGACTTATGTCATCTGCAGAACAAGAAATAATTTGATTTCTTTCTTTCCTGTTTCTATATATTCTATTTCTTGCTTAATTTCTCAGGTTAAAACATCTAATACAGCCGGCACTGCAGCTCACTAGGCTAATCCTCCACCTGCAGCACCAGCACACCGGGTTCTAGTCCCGGTCGGGGCACCGGATTCTGTCCCGGTTGCTCCTCTTCCAGTCCAGCTCTCTGCTGTGGCCCGGGAAGGCAGTAGAAGATGGCCCAAGTGCTTGGGCCCTGCACCCACATGGGAGACCAGGAGAAGCACCTGGCTCCTGGCTTCAGATCAGTGCCATGCGCTGGCTGCAGCGCGCCAGGCACAGCGGCCATTTGGGGGGTGAACCAACAGAAAAGGAAGACCTTTCTCTCTCTCTCTCTCTCTCTCTGTCCACTCTGCCTGTCTAAAAACAAAAACAAATCTAGTACAATATTGAATAAGAATTATGAGACATTGTTGTCATTTCCAGATCTTAAGAGAAAATGTTTCTTTTTCTCATTCAATATTATGTCTGCTATGGATTTGTCATATGTAAACTTTTGTTATGTTCCTGCCATACCCAAGTTCTTAAAGGTTTTTTTTTTTTTTTTATCAAGAATGGATGTTGAATTGTATCAAATGCTTTTTCTGTATCTACTGAGGTGGTCATCTGATGTTCATCCTAAATCTCCTGATGTGATATATTATGTTTTATTGACTGCAATATGTTGGACCATATCTGTAATCCCGGGATAAATCTTACTTGGTCAGGATGAATGATCTTTTTGGTATGCAATTTGATCTTATTTGCTAGGATTTTTATTGAATCTATGTTCACAGGGGATATTGGTCTGTAGTGTTCGTTGTTGTTCTTGTGTGGTTTTGAAATGTGTATAATTCTGGTCTGACAGAATTAGTTTGGAAGTATTCCAATACAAAATATTCCAATACAAAGTATTCCAATACAAAGTATTCCAATACAAAATACTCAGAGTATTTTGGAATCCTTAGAGAAGAACTGGTATTAGTTCTTCCTTAAATGTTGATGGAACTCAGTGGTGAAGCCATCTGGACCTGGACTTTTCTTTGTTGGAAGATGTTTTATTACAGATAGAACATTATTACTCATTTTTGTCTGGTTAGATTGTCTATGTCTTCATGGTTTGATTTGGAGAGTTGTGTGTCCAGAAATTCATATATTTCTGAAAGGTTTTCCAATTTGACAGCATACAGTTCATCATGAAAGTCTGATCTTTGTGTTTCTCCGGTTTGTTATAATACATACTTTTTCATTGCCAATTTTTAAAATGATTTATTTATGTGAAATGCCAAGATGCAGAGGGGAAGAGGCAGAGAGAGAGAGATCTTCCATCTGATGGTTCACTCCCCAGATGGCCTCAATGGACGGAGCTGGGCTGATGTGAACCGAGAAGCCTAGAGCTTCCTGTGGGTCTCCCACGTGGTGGGTGCAAGATCCCAAGGACTTGGGCCATCTTCTACTGCTTTCCCAGGGCACAGCAGAGAGGTGGATCTGAAGAGGAGCAGCTGGAACTTGAACCAGTATCCATATGGGATGCTGGCACTGCAGGTGGCGGCTTTACCTGCTACACCATCGCACCAGTCCCCGCCAATTTTTGAGTTTTGTGTTTCTCTTAGTCTCACTAAAGTTTTATCAATCTTGTTTATCTTTTTGAATAACCATTCATTGATCTTATATCTTGTATTTTGTTTTCTGTTTCATGTATTCTCATCTGACCTCTGTTCTTTCATTCTATTTATTTTGGTTTGTTCCTCCAATTTTTGTAGGTCATTGAAATACATTGCTGGGAGGTTTATTTGATATCTCACAGACTTTTTAAAAGAATTTATTTATTTGTTTGAGAGGTAGTTACAGACAGTGAGAGGGAGAGACAGAAAGGTTCACTCCCCAGATGGCTGCAACCGCTGGAGCTGTGCCTGCCAGGAGCCAGGTGCTTCCTCCCAGTTTCCCACACAGGTGCAGGGGCCTAAGCACTTGGCCACCCTCTGCTGCTTTCCCAGACCATGGCAGAGAGCTAGATTGGAAGAGGAGCAGGCAGGACTAGAACCAGCGCCCATATAGGATGCCAGCACTTCAGGCAGAGGATTAATCTACTGCGCCATGGTGCCAGCCCCTCACAAACTTTTTGATGTAGGTACCCACTGCTATAAATTCACCACTTTGTGCTTTTTTCTGCATCCCATAAGATTTGTATTTTGTATTTCAATTTTCATTATTTTAAATGAATTTTTAAATTTCATTTCCTATTTCTTGAATGACTCATTATTTATTTAGTCGTATATTATTCAGTCTTCAGGTATTTCTATAGTTCTTAAAGTTTTTTCTCCATGTGCCCCCATTCACAATGCAGACCAGGCACAAGGCCTGAGGTGAGGTTTATACAAGGAAGGCCTACTCTACCTCCTCTTTCTGTGTGATTGGTGTAAGAACACAGCCTGTGGTAAGCACCAGGAAGCCAATTCCTGAAGTTTTTTGGTAGTTGACGTCTAGGTTTATTCTACTGTGATCAGAAAAGGTATATGATGTGATTTCTAGATTTTTAATTTGTTGATTTTTTTGGTGGTGTAATATATGGTCTATTCTAGAGAATTTCTGTGTGGTAATGCAAATAATGTATATGTTGCAACTGTTAGATAAAACTGTCTGTAAACGTACAAGTGACCTTTGACACAATGTAACCTTGATGGCTGTTTATTGGGGGTTTCTTCTAGTGACCCACCCATTGATGGTAGTGGAATGTTCCATCTTCCATCATTTCTGTATTGGAGATTACTTCTTGCTTTGATCTGATAATGAAATTGGTTGCTTTACCATTAGGTACATATACATCGACAATTGTTACGTATTTTTGTGGAACTGACCCTTTAGTCACTATATAGTAACTTTCTTTGTCTCTTTTTACAGAATTAGTCTTGAACTCTATTTTGTCTGATTTAAATATTGTTTCTCCTACATTTTTAATCTTGCTTTCTTTTGCATGGAATATCTTTTTTCTATTTTCTCACTTGTAGCCTGTGTGGGTCTTTACCAATGGAGTGAAATTAATGGTGATGTAAGCAGCATGTCCTGGGGTCTGGTTTTTTATTATCCACTCAGCTAGTCTTTACCTGTTTTTTTTTTTTTAAGGTTATTTTCCTCTATTTGAAAGAGCAAGAGAGAAGGGGGTAGGAGATACATTCCATTCATCCACTGGTTCACTCCCTAAATGCCCACCACAGCCAGGGCTAGGCCAGATCAAAGCCTGGAATAAAATGTGGGTCTCCCATGTGAATGTCAGGGGCACAAGCACTTCAGCCATCATCTGCCACCCACAGCGTACCCATTAGAAGCAGAGTAGCCGACCTCAAACTGGTACTCTGATAAAGAATGTGGGCATCCCTGGCTGTGGCTTAACCCAACCCTGTGCAGTGTCCACCCCTAGTTTTTGATATTCTAATTGAGAATTTGTTATATTCACATTCAAGGTTATTATTGATAAGGAATGACTTGAAATTTAAATACTTGAAATTAAAACTTGATAAAGAATGATACATCTTTTTAAAAATTTGTAATTATTTTGAATATTCTTTGTGCCTCCCTTCCTCTTTTGTGGTTAATCTTTGCTTTTTTGTCATCTATATTTATATAGTCTGGCTGCTTTGTATTTCTTTGTTTCTGCTCTTTCATTGAGTTTTATGTTCATCTGTTTTCATGCAATAGTTATCCTTCTTTGCTTCTGTCTGAACAACTCACAAGTGCCCCTTGTAAGACAAGTCTGATATGTGTTCCCTGGGTTTTAGCTTGTCTTAGAAAGTGTTTATTTTTTCTTAATTTTTGAAGGATAGCTTTGGTCATTATAATATTTTTGGTTGAAAGGTTTTTTTTTTTTTTTAAATAGGCAGAGTTAGGGAGACAGAGACAGAGAAAGGTCTTCCTTCCATTGGTTCACCCTCCAGTGGCCGCTATGGCCGGAGCTGTGCTGATCTGAAGCCAGGAGCCAGGTGCTTCTCCTGGTCTCCCATTTGGGTGCAGGGCCCAAGCACCTGGGCCATCCTCCACTGCCTTCCCGGGCCACAGCAGAGAGCTGGGCTGGAAGAGGAGCAACCGGGACAGAATCCGGCACCCTGACCAGGACTAAAACCCTGGGTGCCTGCACCACAGGCAGAGGATTAGCCAAGAGAGCTGCGGAAACGGCCTAGAAGTTTGTTTGTTTGTTTGTTTGTTTGTTTTAAAAAAAAAAAAACAATGGTGGCCGGCACCATGGCTCACTTGGCTAATCCTCCACCTGCAGTGCCGGCACACCGGGTTCTAGTCCCAGTTGGGGCGCCAGATTCTGTCCCGGTCGCTCCTCTTCCAGGCCAGCTCTCTGCTGTGGCCCAGGAAGGCAGTGGAGGATGATCCAAGTCCTTGGGCCCTGCACCCCATGGGAGACCAGGAGGAAGCACCTGGCTCCTGGCTTCAGATCGGCGCAGCGTGCCAGCCATAGCGGCCATTTAGGGGGTGAACCAATAGAAGGAAGACCTTTCTCTGTCTCTCTCACTATCTAACTCTGCCTGTCAAAAAAAAAAAAAAGTGGTGGCAGCAGCAGAGTCTTAGGGTGCTCCTCTTAGTCCCTGCAGTACTACTTGGGTCATGGTGGTAGATGGCAGAGTCACGCTGGGGTTGTGGGTGCACCATCTCTCTTGTCATGGGGTCATGAGAGTACTGGCCTGAAGTTTCAGAGGGGTTGCTTGGGTGCCCATGGTGGAAGGGTCATTTCTGGTGTTTTGTCATGTTCTTGGCATCCCCAAGCCCGGTGGAATGTGTATGGGACCCCATGGAGTCAGCCCTGGGTTTCCATGTCCTGTCATGTCACCCATCTACCTTTTCTTCCACAACTAGATGATGATCCTCTCCATGTTGCTTGATGTTGGGGTGGCAATGGAATAAGCAGTCCTGTGTTCCCAGTGCTAGATCTTAGCCAGAGCTCACATCTGCCAACCTGTTAGTGCCATGGCTCATGTTGCTATGGGCTGAGGCATTGCTGAGGTGACCTGCAATACTGTCTGTGATACAAGGCCATTTTACTGGGGCATGGGCTTCCACTTGAGACCAGTAAATAGGGAGAGGTCCTGTCTGCAGACAGTGGCAAGGAATGGGGACCATTAGCATCCTTCCATTATTGGGTTTTAATAGATTGGTGTTACGTTCTAAGAAGCAGTCCTGTGTTCACTTGGGTTCCCTATTCCCTATTCCCTATTCCCTATTGATGTACTGTTTCTACTTGGTGTCTGTCCACATTTTGGGGAGGGGTTGTTGAGGTAGCTCCTTGGCTATCCAGGCTGACAGTAAATTGGTCTACATCTGATTCTCAGAGCCACAGGATCCTGCACTGTTCTACAGATACACAGAGCTCCATGCAATGCCATAGGTGATGTTGGCAACACTGAGTCCATCCTACCTGGGCGTGGTCCCCACTTGATTCAAGGGCAGGTATAGAGCCTCCATCAGTTCTCACCCCACTGGGGCTGGGGGTCTGTGGGCTCTATCTGATGCTGGGTCTCACTATGGTGGGAGTGGCACTGAACTGAAAGGTGAAAGCCCTCAATTCACTTTCCCAGTCTACTTCACTATAGTTTGAAGTCTTAGTCTTTGCTGTCTGCCTGAGTTTGGTGGAGTGTTGTAGAGGCAGTTCCTTGGCCACCCAAACTGACCCTAAGCTGAGTTGTACCTGGGTTTCAGAGTCACTGATCCCTGAACAGACTCAGGGGCAAATGCCAAGTATAAAGGAGGCTGGTGGTGTTCGACTGAAACAAGTCCTGGGTCTAGGTCTTTGCCTGATTCCAGAGAAATCTAGAAGCTCTGTGAACACTGCTAGGAGGATAGATACCCTTGGATATCATGGTACTAGGCCAAGCAGTGAGCTTCAAGGTCAAATCCTAAGCGTCCTTTGCTGCCTCATTCCCCGCAGCAGGAGTCTTGGTCTGTTGTCTGCCAGAGGTTTGGGGAGGGGTGATGGAGGCCCCTTTACCATTTGGATATGGAGGATCCAAAAACAGTCTACACATTCTGCTTGTTGGCAGTAGCTCCGAGACTCTATTCTGCTCTAGGTTTCACCACAGCAGGCCTGCCCTAAGTAGGAGGGGAGGCGGGAGCTAGAGCCAGGGGGAGAGGCAGAGTGATGCAGTCAGCGCTTCCTCTGTGCCTTCTTCAGTACTTATTGTTAGGCTAACACCAGGCATGGCTTCCTTAGCTCTTGTTGAGTTCATGAATGGGTGTTCCAGTTGGTGTCTTCCTAAGACAGTTGCTGTAGTGTGTTCCTCTGGCACCATCTCGCTCTGCCTCCCTGAAGTTCCTCCTTGAGAGAAGTACTCCAAGATGAAATGTCTCTCAGGAGGAAGAATCCAGGCAAAGCGCTCAGGAAGTTCCAGAGGGGTGACTGGTAGTGAGCAACACATTGAATCAGGACGTAAGATGATGCGACTCTGGACGTAGTGATTACAGAATGCAGAGGTCATAGCTCCTGGTAACGTTCTAAGGGGGAGGGTTCTGCTCAGTAAGGGGGAGGGTTCTGCTCAGTAAGGGGGAAGGGCTCCCCCCTTGCTCTGTTTCTGTGAATTCAATCACTACTGACTGGAATCCCTTCTCATTTTAAGACGCCCAAGACCTAAATGACATTTTGAAGTTGGAAGTTCATGTCTTTTCAAACTTCGATAATTGAGGCAATTACATTGCTTGCTTGGGATAAAGAAACAGCTGATGTTAATTCTTTGGAATTTTATTTAATGGTTTTGTTAAAGAAAAAAACAGTGTAATCATGTTTATGTAAGATGATCCCACATGTTCATACAGATGACTGTAGAAGCAGAACTTACACTGTTGTGAATAACATACGGGCGGTGCGAGTTTGAAAATTGTCTTCAGTTTTCTGGGTGTGTCTTTGTCCTTCATGCCTTGCCATGTTGTTAGAAAAGTTCACAATCAGCATGTGTAATTTTAAATAACTAAAAGACATGATTTCAAAAGTCAAAATGAAGGACGGGTGGAGGAGGTTTTAGTTACGAGTAAGGCTGGATGACTGCTTGATGGTGGGGGACAGAGAAAGGGGAGCTCTCAGAGTCAGGCTGAGATTTAGAGGCAGAGATGCTGGGAGAATGGCAGGACCAGGAACGGAACAGGGAGCAGAACGGATGGGGACAAGCTCAGGCTGCCCCAGGGTCAGGGGACAGCATCCGTTTAGAGAGGCAGCAGGGGGCTGGCAAGAGAAATACGTATCGAAGCCAGTGCTGTAAACACGTGAGCTAGAGTCACAAAAAAAAAGGGTTGAGGTTCCCAGAGTGAAGTGTGCGTGGGGAACCTGTGGGTCTGGACACAAGCTGCCACCATTACTGCCTTCACGCAAGTCACTGAAAAGACTCAGGGGTCTGTGTAAGGGCCACCTCTGTCCCCAAGCACAAAACCAGAGCAGAAAGTGGCAGAAGCTAAGATGGAACAACACT